GCTTTTATCATTTCAACGATGCAATTTAAATAGTTCTGTATCTTAAACAACAAGTTCTCGCAATCTCAAGGAACCAAATCTGATCTAAATGTTCCATAACAAGAAAAAGGGGCTTTACAAATGTAATATAGCACATAATGTGTTGTAGCTGATTAAGTCCTGCTGTCCCTTCCTGCACTACTCTCCCTATTTTTGTGTTACATAATTAAGAGACATCCATTATTCAGTATTTGGCTTCATCGAACTCGGAACAAAGACCAACACAGATGAATGAACGTTTTATTGGAACAAAAAGACATAAATGCAGCTTTCTTTTTAAAGTCACATCACCTCCTCTGCACGCTTTCCTTCATCACAGACCCTTTTGTCTTCATGTGTAATATTTGTACATGTGATTCACATCAAAGAGAATTCTCACTATGTATCAGCTTAGTGAAGGTTTTCTTTCTTTCTTTTTTTTAAATTGTCGTAAACCTAAAAGAGGATGAGACAGAAAACAAGAAGTATTGTCGAGCAGACATCGCTCCATTGAAGTAGCTTTGCTTGGCGGTCAGCCAGTGATAAGTGATAGCGGGTTTCAAGTCCTGCCAGCAGTTAAGCATTTGCAGCCAAATGCTTTTTCGAGTAGATAATTAATCTTTGGATGTAGTTTGACAAACATACCACGCACTTTAGCTGAACATCAGGTTTACTGGCAGCTCGGAGCCGTTGTTAATCTCATCCTAATGTCAGCTGTTAAATAAATGTTTAAGATTAAATAAAAAGGGGAGAGTTTTGCATAAAAAGTTCCTGAACCTTATACTGAGGCTGTATTGAACCGAGCAAGAGCCAGTTTTATTGTGTATGAATTTAATTTTTAAATCATATTCATTATTTGTAGATGAAAGTTTCCTCTTTCAAAAAACCAACTAATCAATATTATGTGTTCACCATCAAATGACAGAAGAACTTAGAAGCTAACTGGTTAATCTAGAGAAGCGTTTAGCAGCTAAAGATCCAGGTGTTTTTCTAAGGAGGTGGTTGAGACCAAACCAGAGCTAACAAAGGAATGACCTGTGGCCCAAAGCACAACTCCAAATAAAAGGTGCAAGCAGCGATGGACAGGTTCTGGCTGTACGATTGTTGGAGCATGGCGGTGAGGTGCTGTGGCCGAGACTCTGATCAAACTCGTCAACTGTCAGGTAGATTGGAGCACGTGCGGGCTGGTTAGATACCATTTCCTGTTTTATGGCGAGCCTTGTGCTCTGGCCAGGCCTTGGCGATGAAGTGTCGGGTAGATCAGAGCACGTACAGGCCAGTTTCACAGCACTTCCTGTTTGCATGGCGAATCGTCAAAATTCCAGGAGCCGCCATTTCCACGCCGTCAGACTTTTGCAGAACGTTTTAATAACTTTTAATCGCCAAGCCCTGTAGTTTGTGCTGTCCAAATTTCAGGTGTTTAGGATGTGCCCCCCAAACCCAAATGGCGGACTTCCTGTTGGGTTTAGAGTATGGCGCCCGCTGACATTTTGTGTGCTATTTATGCATACTGAATTTCGTAGCTCTACGTGAAACACAGTCCCGACGGTACTGGCTATGAAGCCATTTTGCCACTCGCATGTCCAAGCCCCCTAAAATATCAAATAATTTGCCAGTTTGGATGTTTGTGCAAATTTTCATGGGTTTTCGAGTATGTTTAGGCCTTCAAAAACGCATTTCTTTTCGGCAAACTATAAAAATAATTTAAAAAAGAAAGAGTTTCAAGAGGTTCCTTGCATTGTTAGTGCTTGGACCCAAATAAATGCTTCTGTTGCTTTGCTCACAAACAACTTTTTGCCAACAGGTTTGCCATAACAACATTAAAGTATGTCAGTATGTGTCAGCTTACTTCCACTGCCCACATCTAAAAATTGTCTTATATCTACTCATAGCACATTTTAGATCCATACTAGCAGGTATCTCGCTGCTGTGTCGAGCCCTGAAACGTTTCTCTTGCGTCCTCGCGGTGGTTCGACCGTCGAGCCTCTGTGGCTTCTTGGCTCTCCGGGCCTAAACTTAAATAAACACTTCTGCTCTGGGATTTCATGGCCAACCTGGTTTAGATCACGTCAATTTCTCAAAACCCTGCGAATCTACATCTCGGCCTGAAATGATTTTCCTCCAGAAGCCACGGGCAGTTGTCTTTCAAGATCGATTAACCCTCAAACATATGTTTCCCATAACCATTTCACGTTCTCAATGGCTTTCTGTTACTTTAATTGGTAGAACAACTGCGTTTCGGTGCCAAGCGCAGGCCCTGGATGTTTGTTTTGGTGTTTGTTTCCTGTGTGTGTGACATCGTAGTAACAGGGCGTAATTAGAGGCGGAACAACAGAGATGAATGTAAAGTGGACACGGCGGACACGAGCTCGCTGGTTGCCTCATGTCATTCGTGCGCCAGGTCCAAAACTAAATGGAAAGATCAGAACCTAAATGTCCTGGTTCTCTGAGCAAAAAGCTTTTACAGCTCTTGGCCGTGCGTCGGCCTCCGACTCAATTTGCAGCGTAATGAAATTTAACTTGGCTTATGTGTGATTACTGTTCCCATCTTTTGCATATGACAGAATTTTCCTGCCAGTTCAGAAGTATGAAGGAGCCCAGAAATTGTTTCTTTAAAAAAAAAGAAAAAAAGAAACTCTCCCATTTGTTCTAATAAGCTTCTGACTATAGTTGATGGAAGTGAGCCATTCAGTTCTAGTCTCTAGAAACACCAAGCTGCATTTTTTGTTTTTTATCCCTTTTCTCTAATCACAGAATGATTCATGGCAGGAAAGCAGGTGGGTGTACTCTCACACCGAATGATTGAAGAAGTGGCTGAAACGAAAACCAGAAGGCTCGTGACCTTTGAGCGCCGCAGTCGATCAGTCACTCGACCTCGAGCGCATTAGGACCCGCGCGCTGCAACACCTGCCGAAGATTTCATCGCTGAGCCAAGATACATCAGCTGAATATTTACCATCAGGGTATCTCTCTCTTACAGGAGCTGGACGTCATCCCAGATCTGACGGGAGACAACGCCAGGTATCTGTTAAAGGAGTGGAACTTCATCCAGCTTTCTGTAAGCTCCCATTTTAAGCGCAGCTCTTCTGTGAAATGACAGCATGTCGGTGCAGATAGTCACCATCAGTTCTGGCCAACATAAATCTTATCTGTTTTCTTTTTTTCGTTTTCTTGGTGTCCAGGTCGGTTATTCATGCCTGTCTGAAGTGGAGGCCAT